AGCTCGAGTAAATAGCTTGAGCGTAGTTTATGCAAATACTATAAAAAAAATTAGCTACAAATTTCTTCTCTAAATTGCCTTATCTAATATATTTTTATGATAATTTGTCGGTAAATAGGATGAATGACAAATTTTACTATTTAGTTATAGAATTTATCTGCCGCTACATCCTATTTTTCTAATAGTGAGATAACTTGTAAACAGTTTCCTGAAAAGTCTTGTAGCAGCTTTTTAAAGCTTGCAATGGAGTAAACAACTTATAAATGAAAAGCCTTGCAATATCTTTCTGAAAAGTCTCGAAACAACTTCCTTTAATAGGAAGCTAAATCAGTCGATTTTTCGTACAACAATCACAAGAGAAATAAAATATATCTCTCCAGACTTCCTCACTACATCTTATTTTTAATTTAATTTCTAAAAATTAATGAACCGTCAGTAGTAATTATATGAAAATGCTTAATTATAACTAAATACTAAATGAAAATGTATTTTTTTAGCTTAAACTTTTTTGGTGTTGAAATCAAGAATGTGTTTGTTTCAAATCAAAAGGATGTATGTTGCTTAATTACGTTGTGTCATTTGAACTCAATAACATATAGTCTCATTAATTCCTATATAAATATTGACTCCAAAGATTATGTGAATTGCTTTTTAAAGGAATTTTATAGATGAGTATAATTACAACACTCACTAAGCCCTTAAAACATTGATTAAGTGATTTATTGGACACTTCTAGCAGCAACAAAAGGATAATAAGATATGTCAAAGGATTATTGATCAATACACCTCAGTTCACAATCATATCACTAATCAATTAATTTATGTCAAAAGTTTAGCACTTACAAGTAGATAATGTGTGCAATTAATCTTAGCATAGCTTCATCCATTTTTGTCCTTTTAAATTGCATGTGATAGAATCGAAAGATAAGGATATTGTTGAGGAGTCATCAAACCTTTTCCACAGTTTTATTTTTCTTGGCTTATCTTGAACAACACTATTTATCCTATATAAAATATTTGCTTTAAAGATTAAAGAGGATAGAGAGTCTCACTTCCATAGATTCGATTGAGAATGCTTCTAAAGATCGAGTCCTTATCAGAAATATGTGTAGAGGTTCGAGATGGTAGGAGTGGACCTAACGTGAGTTAAACACACTAGAAATACGGAAACAATAAAAAACAATCAGACCAGAGATGTGATTGCATTATAAGGTCGGGAGGGGGGGTTGAATAGTGTCTTGACAAATATTAGACCTATTAAAATTTATCTATAAAAACACCTTATCAATTAAACTTAATTACAAGAAACGTGTTCTTTGTATTGATTCAACTAACTCATGTAGCAAGTTATAACGTTTGAATACACGTAGAATATAAATTTTCACGTGAAAATCCTTCTTGTTCAAAGGAGTAAAAACATGACCCTCTTCAAGAATTTCTCTTTCAAAACATCACTAATCAACCAGAAGTTTAAAGTTACAAAAAATTAAATCATCCACTAAATAACCTACAATTAACTCTTATTGTAGATGAACCTCCAAACTAATTTTAGCTTAAAATTAACAGTTTAACTTTGTCCTCTAATAGTTATTGTTGGAGACCTATTAATAAAAAAAATGTAAAGAAAAAGCTTGGCCAAAATCCCTTTGAAATATTTTTAGCTTTTAACAAACGTCTTGCAATATTAAAAATTGGTCTATTCTTTCTTTCAATTCTTTCATTCTCTCCTTAATTTATTTTATTGTGCTGAGTATGGTATAAGATGGTGTTGAATTTCATGAGACTAACCAAATTCATTAAATTCTTTTGAAGTGAATTTGCCTTCTCTGTTAAACCTTAAAGCTTCTATTTTATAGCCAATGTCTATTTTTAAGGGTGTTTTGAAAATTTTAAAAGTAACAAATACTTTAAAGAAATAAATCTAGTTAACAAAAGTCATCAAGGAAGAGCAAGATGTATTTATTTTTATCAAAAGAAGGTGGATTGATTGGCCCACACACATTTGTATAAACAAGTTGGAGTGATTTGGTTGCTCCATGGACTCCTTTAAAAAACTCTTCCTTGCATACTTTTAACAACATAAGCTCTAGACAAATGATTAGGATGGTTGATTGAAGGGATCACATGCACCATGCATATTCTTTTCTTCTATTGATTTGAGTGTTGTAAAAATCAAGATTCAAATTTCATGTCCAAATAATTCATCTTGCACATGATGATTAGCATTCAAACACATTGTATCAATTGTCTAAAGATTCAAAGAAAATGATTTATTTATTTTTTGTATGCACATTTGCAATTAAATTTCCACTTGAATAGAATGATCTCTAGGCCAATGATGAATATTTTTCATTATCAAATCCCTTTACAATAAGTTGAACCGAACTCAAAATATTATTTGTCATTTTTTACACCTAATAAACATCTTTAATCAATTTTCTATGAGATTGAAATTCTGCTCATCCCTCAATTTTAATCTTTGAGATACCTCCAAAAATTATTATCTCTTATCATTTTATTGATCTCTACAAACAACAATTGTCGAGCGGTATTATGCCAATGAGAAATTATTCCGACGGGTATTATTATGTCGATATGAAATGGTTCCGGCAAGTATATGAACCTCATGAATCCTCCTGGGTCCCGACTATTCGACAGTGGAAGCGAATGTGTACCAGTTTTTTGTCAGTGCATTACATTGCATTTCATATTTATTTGGTGTTGAGTTGTTGAGATGATTGTGAAACTGATTTGACTCGTTACATTTGAGACATCTTGTGATATCATCACTGGTGTAACTGACAGTTTTGGAAATATATGTTTAAATTTTCGTGTTGAGGGGATTTATTTTATGACATAATTATACTGTTGGGAAAAGAAAATTTTAAAATATACCTCGTTATCACTTTTAAGAAGGGTTAGTAATGAAATCTTGCTAAGTACATGTGTTTTCCTACTCACTCTATACTTGATACACCCTTTTTGCGTGAAAAAACTGAGTTAGGTACTAGCGGTACTTGACTTGCTCCTACTATTGAGATTGGTGATTGTAAAAATCAAGATTCAAATTGCATGTCCCAATAATTCATCTTGCACATGATTAGCAGTCACACACATTGTATCAATTGTCTTAAGATTCAAAGAAAATATATATATATTTTTTTCATATGCACATTAGCAATTAAATTTCAACTTGAAATGAATGATCTCTAGGCCAAGGATGGATATTTTTCAATATCAAATCCCTTTTCAACAAGTTGAACAAAACACAAAATATTATTTATCATTTTCTTTACAACTAATAAACATCTTTAATTAATTTATGGCCATCAACTTTAGAAGAGATTGAAATTTTACTTTAATCGTTGAGATATCTCCAAAAAAATATTATCTCTTATCATTTTATTGATCTCTACAAACTTGTCTGAAAACTAAAACAATTATCGAGTGATATTATGTCGATGAAAAATAGAATCGGTGAGTATTATTATGCCGATGAGAAATGGTTCCCACAGATATATGGACCTCATGAGTCACCCTGAGTCTAGACTATCCGACAGAGGAAGCGGGTGTATATCAATTTTTGTGTTAGTGCATTGCATTGCATTACATCTCATCTACATTGCATTTCATATTGATTTGGTGTTGAGTTGTTCAGATGATTGTGAAACTGATTTGACTCGTTATATTTGAGACATCTTGGGATATCATCACTGGTGTAACTGACAGTTTGGAAAAGTATATGTTTAAATTGTCATGTTGATGTGATTTATTTTATGATGTAATTATACTATTGGAAAAAAAACTTTTAAAAAATATTCCTCGTTCTCGCCTCTAAGAAGAGTTACTAATCAAAGCTTGTTGAGCGCACGTGTTTTCCGTACTCACTCTATACGTGATGCACCCTTTTTGCATGTGGGTACTGAGTTAAGTACTAGCGGTACTTGACTTGTTGCTACAATTGAGATTGGTGATTATTGGGATTCAGGGTGAGTTTCCTATTCAGCAGTACTGGATTCTAGAGACTCCTTTATTTTTTGTCTTATTTCGTTCTAGATAGTTGTTTTAGTTTTTAGACTTGTTTCGTATTCATAAATGCACTTATACTGGTGTCACCAGGTCCTTTAGGTAGTTTGCTTTTTAGTTTGTTTATTCCGCATTTATACGAGTTAGTTGTTTAATTCAATATTATTTCTACATTAGTGTTGGTAATAACGGAACAGGGCTGGTCTATTGGGTAATAGGTTCCCTCACAGCCTAATGAAATTTTGGATCGTAACACATGACCACAAAAGGTATGGTGATTTTTATCTTCATTATTGAAGTTATTTCCAGTACTATTTATTCCTCTTCCACGGTCTATTCCTAATTCATTCTCTCTATAGATCTCTTTTCACCTTCATAATCTTAGAAGGATGTCTTGGTTTTAAGAAATTGCTATAGTGATTCTTCTTTATCTCATCTTGATCGTTTTTTCATTAGCTTGTAAAGAACCCTCCAATTAATACATCGTCACGGAGTCTAAATCATTTAATCTTTAATAGCACAAACCACATAAATTTTATTTAGATATTGAAAAGTGAAGGACCTTTTCTGCCACACGTACATCGTCTACTTCCTCTCCATACTTCTTTATTTATTCACAACAACCATCATTTTTTAACAACTTAAATGGATTGGATTATTTCATTTTTAAAACTTCAAAATAAACCATTAGTGTTTGAAGTCTTACTTTCTTCACTTGATCAATTCCTTTGAGAGAAATTTGTAAGATCTCTCTTGCTTCCTTTGTGGTAGTTACATTAGTCACCTTCGAATGAGAGTGAGAGATTGTTGATTATTATTTCTTTGTCTTTTTCAAGATATTCTTTTTTATGTTAAGGCAAAGTTTCTTCATGATTTTGATACCACGTTGTTCGAAAATAACACCTCACATAAAAAAAAATTATAATAACAAAAACAAGAGAAAAACGAAGATACCAAGTTCTTTTAACGTGCAGAATACAATACTCAAGAGAAGCAACACAATACTACTATAATGAAAAATTTAACACACTAGGTAGACTCAAGAAACTACTACAAATCCAAAAAGAAAAACCTCTTTATATTATACATCTCATTATAACACTCATCACACTTTATTTTTCTTATAGACTATTTTCTATGCATTATTGATAAACTACTCTCAACCAAGCAAATGATAAACTTCAACCAAGCAAAATTTGTTTTATTTGCAATTTGCATTTCACAAATGATAACCATATTGCAACTTGTTTACCCATCTTATTTTTCTTTATTAACATGTTGTACAAACTCATCTTTCAATACCTACACCAACTATAAAAAAACAAAGAGCCTTCAAACAAATAACCCTTTGTTAGCCAAAAATGTGTTATCCTGGTTATCCAAGCAATAAAACATAGGAAACATCTTACTTTCTTCTTGATCATCAGCCATCCATAAAGTGTTTGGACAATAATCCCATATAGGTGATGGCATAATTTGTTTACTCTTTGTTTCATTTTCTTCTGATAATTCAATGTCTTTCCATATATCATCCATAGAGTACACCTTCATGTTTTTTCCTTTATCATGGTCAACAACTTTCTTTTGTAGTCCACCTGTAGGGTAGAAGTTCCTTTCGTTGTTTTCCATAATGGGCGTGAAATCCACATCAGGACTATTAGACGAGAAAGATGAAGTATTGGAGAAGGATGAAGATGGAGAAATACTAGATGATGCTTTGTTTAACTTCCTCTCATCTTGAGCCTGCTTCCTCATGTGTGTTCTCCAGTAATTCTTTATTTCATTGTCTGTTCTCCCGGATACTTCCCTTGCAATTCTTGACCATCTAAATACATAAAGGAATTTAATTTTATTATATATATAGCGCGGTTAGAAATTCTAACAAGATGAAAAAACATAAAGAAGTTTGAAGTATAGTCAAACCTATTTCCCCATTTGGAGTGGAGTTCAAGAATAAGACGTTCTTCTTGTGGAGTCATCTTTCCTCGTTTGAGACCAGGATGTAAGTAATTCACCCATCGTAATCTACAACTTTTTCCTGTTCTTCTCAAACCTATTTACACAACATAAAAACAAAATTTGTACATAGAAAAAAAGAGTTAGAAGTTGTTCCATGAAAATAAAATTTCATGTCCAAGACAAGCCTACCTAATCTATATATCTCCCGCCAACCTTAAAAACCTGAAACTTTGGCTAAGAAATCCCATCGTCGATCGCCTAACAAATTCACATAAAATGCAAGTTGAAGGTCTTCTTGTTCTGTCCATGGTCCTTTTCTCATTTCTTCTTGTGCCATCTTCTTGCTCTTTTCTCTTTTGAGTTGTATCCCTAGCTATTTCTAGCTTAGCCTTTTTCTTTGAGTCACCTACTTTGTTGGTACATAGTGTTTATGTACATGGATGATATTTATAGTGGAAAATATACTCAGGAAAGGCATAAAGGGATAGGATGTTTTTAAATATATGTAGGTATATTATAGTCCATTACATTGGGGGTCCCGTTTAATATAAGTTGATTGTAGTAGTGTAAGAATATTTTATCTTATATTCAATATAATTTTAGTGATAGCAAGTCAGTGTACTTTATAGGAAAGGTGTGATAAGTGGCGGAGTCAGAAATTTTATTGAAGGTATCTAAGAATAATGATGTGTGGCTGTTAAAATAAAATAAAAAATATTGTGTTATTTGGGGTTTAAAATCAGAACTCCTTCACTCAAATGGACACCCATTAACCACTACATCAAAGGCATAACTTTTATCAAGGATGTCCAACTTTAAATATAAATCATTTAATGTAGTATTTGACATATATATATTTTCCAACGAAGGGTGTCCAACTGAGCACTGGCTATAGCTACGCCCCTGGGTGTAATGGGAATTGAACCCACACATGTTTAGAAGACTCTCTCACACACAGGGGCGGATCTACGAAGAGGTGTGGAGGTGCCACGCCACCCCCGAACTTCGACGGAAACTCTATATATGCATAGGTATATATATATATATATATAATATTTATATAAATATAAAGCGTGCCACCTAGAGAACAAAATTGGCTTGTGGTGCCACGGTAGGAGGGCAACTTTAGAAGGTTGATGTTGCGGGTTGGAATCCTATTTGTACCTATTTTTTTGAGAAATTTGCTTATTTTTATAATTGTTATTGACTTAAATTAAATTAATTACATTGTTACTCCTTTGACTTTTCTTTTATTTGATTAAATACTCAATAAAAGTGTAATATCTTATTATTTATATTTTATTGATTGATTTATGATATATATCGAAAAGACGAATAATTTAATCAAATATAAAATTAATTTAATCGATAAGTCAATTTGACACCCACAGACTCTAAATCCTGGATCCGCCACTGCTCACACATATCACTAGACTGTAAGTCCGAGTTGTAAACGTTTATTATTTTATTTTATTTTTCTTAATATTGTTTGTTTTTATCCATTGCATATTGATCAAGTTCAACACTAGTGTATAAGGTACGACCATTAAAGGGATAAATCGTTTCCAATGGGAAATACGAATCAAGTTCAAGACTTGAGGTTAAAAATGGATGTAGTGCAGCCATCAACTACGTGTCCAATTAGGAGGATAATAAGATCCTAATTAGTTAAAATGTATCGCTGGAATTTCGATTATAGTTCAGGCGTACTTATGTGTTATTCCTTTAAGAAACAATAAAAAATGTTTTAGTATATTGGTGATTTATCTCATGATTGTCCTTCATTATTAACCTATCGACTCATAGCGTTATCATATGTTTCGAACATATCCTAGGACAATAAAAAATGATTCAACAATGTTTTTGCACTAATGGTGGAAACCACATAGAGGCATATTGTGGCTTTTTAAATTAATTGTTCAAGAATCTTTGAATTTTTTTAATTGTTTAAGGGTAAAAGGTACAAGTATCTCCTAAACTATGACCGAAATCCCAGAGACGCACCTTAAGTACTAAACTAAGGTTCTATTGCCTCCTTGAACTCTTTTTTTAAAAAAAATTTGCACACCTTTTTGGCTTACATGGCATCCAAATATCTCTCACGCGCCTCAATTGTGTGGAGTCACGGAGTGTGCCACGTAAGACAAAAGGTGTACAAAATTATTTTTAAAAAATGAGTTCAGGAGGTCATAGGACCTTAGTTTAGTTAATGTGTGTCTCTGAGATTTCAGTCATAGTCTAGGGGTACTTATGTCTTATCCGTTGTTTAAGGGTATATTTGACCTTTTAAATTTCTCAAATGCATGCATTATTATTAAATTAATATATTTGTTATTAAATTTGTACTAAAGAAAATATTTTGACCCTTTTATTTAAAAAGAAAAAAAAGGGTCCATCATCACTAGTTCACTTTGTAAGTGGTATACGACGGTCCATTACCCCATCGTGGTGGAAAGAAGCCAATGTTGCATTTATGATGTAAGCCACTAAAAGGAAAGTGCCTAAGTGATGATAAATGTAGAATAAGAGGTTGATATGTTGATACAACTTTCATAACCAGCTCTCCATTTCACTATGACACTCATTGTTGGAATTTGTCTCTCATCCGATATCTGTATTGGAGCTCGATAAATTCAGATTCGTGCAGCGTAGGGCTTCATTCGAAGGGAAGTGCTCCCTACTAAAGATTTTAGCATAGTCACCTAGCTTGAACCTGAGACCTCTGATTGATGAAGAAACAATCTCATCCACTACACTATATATTTTTTGATGGTATCTTTAGGAAAACTTAATTATGTAAATAAACGTGTGGAATGCACAAGTTTTTCCAACTAGGATTGTTATTTTTAATATCCAAATCCACCAATAAACACTACTAAAAAAATGTCAAAAAAAGACGGCCAA